GTCTGAGTCAGATGCCACGCAACAGCAGCATGAAGTGCTTTTCCCTGGATCATTCCTGAGGAGATCACTAGAGCTTTTCCCACAGGATAGTGAAACTTCTTTTCTTCCTTCCCTTCTGTCACTGTCTTTCATTGGCCTGTACTCCTTTACAGGAAAGGGCCTTCTTGGAAAGCATCTTTATTTGTGTTCTTAATAAAGTGTTCTTTATGTCTATGGGGAAGCAATATTGGATGAATCATCATTGGCTTTTGGTCAGTCATATTTGTTACAAGTCCTTCTCCCAGGTTCAGTGCATCCTTAGGAGACCAGGTAAGTGCCCAGGTGAGTGCCCCACTGAGCTCCACTGCTATTCTGAGCTGATCAGCACCTGTGGTCTCTGCATTATTTCCTCTGTGCTAAGGTTCTTGGCATCCCTCATCATTGCAAGTGAATAGGAGAAATCCAGGCATTGTTTGGGGGAAAATCCAACTCATCACCCTTACTCATCAGAGTAAGGTCCTAGGAAAGGAATTGATGCACAGTGGATATGTGTGTGTGTGCATGCGTGTGTGTGTGTGTGTGTGTGTGTGTGTGTGTGTGGTGGAGGGGGGGGAATGGAACTGAATAAGAAGAAGCAAGCAGAGGCAGCTGGATGCCCAGATTACATATAGAACTCCAGCAGATTGAGAGGGTAAGAAGGAGGGCACTGTTCACCAGGCTGGGATGAAGTGTATTCTATGGTGCTCAAGGGAAGTAGAGACTTTGGGGTGCCTCCGGGTAATAAGCAGTAACAGGGCCAGACAAGTCACTGGAACCCAGGATCTCCCTCTAGTCTAAGCAGGAGGAAGCAGGAACAGCCAAAACTCATGTGCTAGATGAGGTGCACCCCATATCTGACCTCAGCTTCCCTATCTGTACCATGAATGCTGGGTAATGAGCAGTTACATTCTGCCCTTACAAGCTGGATTCTGGGATGGCTGCATGCCATCAGGTCAGTCCTGGATGGAACTGACTGGGGGGCAGGAAGGGGAAAGGGCACATGTCCACTCTCAGGGCAGTGTCCTAGGCTGGTCTAAGTTAGCTTCTCAGCAGCACCACAGTGAAGAACATGTGATACTCCTCCACATTTAGTCAACAAAATTTTACAAAAGTCAGGGTGGGGGTGGGGGATGGAGGGAATTAAAAAAACATCAATCAGAGCATCCTGCTCAACAGACCAAGAAGACCCAGATACCTGTGAGGTTCTCTGAAAAACCACTCTCCCTCTGCATGACCTTTTCTAAAGTCTTTGGAAAGAACCAGTTTTCCTGGAAAAGTGGCCTGGACAATGGCCCTCCCCAACCCTGCTCACTCACATGGGTCTGCAGTGATCTCCCTGAATTAACCAAGCTGCCTCACACCTCGGGGCTTTAGCTGGAAACTTGTTCCCAGGTACCTGGTCTCGTGGAATGTGCCCGTGGCCGGGCCCAGCACTGCTGTGGGTTCTGAAGATGAACCTGCAAAGATACAGGCTCTACCTTTGCAGAACACACAGAGCAGAGGATGACCTACAGTATGCCCCCAAACAATGCACCCTGGGGTTGCTGAATGCACAAAGTAGGAAGGGAAATAGGTCATGGGTATAGAGGGTGAGTGCTGGCAGCGAAGCAAACACTGGAGCCAGGAGCTGACACTACCCCCAACAGGTCAACTGCAGAAGGAGCCAGACTGCCAATGGGCAAGCTGGGCTTCCTTCTGTGGTCACCTTGTTAACTCTTCAGATCCCAGCCCTGGAGCCACCTCCTCTGGGACCAAACTCCCAGCCAGGTCAGAATCCTGGTTAGTCTCAGCACCAGCTTCCCTTCCTCAACCACACTCAACTCTGTGGGATCTTCATGTTTATCTCTGTCCACCTCACATCTCTGTACCCAGCACAGAGCAGGGCCCATGGTAAGCACTCAGTCATTGATAGCCAAATAAATAAGCAAATGCCCAGGGACTCCTTCCTATGTACCTGTGTACCTGTGCTCTCTTATAGACTCCAGGGCCATAAATAGTCACACACACACACACACACACACACGCTATGTCTCAGAGAGAAGGATTTGTAAGCTGTCCTTCAGTGCACCCCAGAGGTCTCCTTGAATCAGGCAGTTTCACTGTGCAAAGAACTTTCTGGCACGTCACCTCACTCTGTCCCTTCCCTATTCAAAGACCCCCCAAGCTTAAGCTCAGTAGAGTCTGGACCCCAAAGTCCCCCTCCCTCCCTCACCAAATTTAACAGTATCATCCACAAACATGGAGTAAAGAACCCCATTCTCTCCTATAGCCACAGCCCCAGAATTGCTCATAAATGGGAGTTTCTATGTATGAAAATACAAAGTTAGATTTTGCAAAGCAAAGATCAGAATACAGAGATGAAGGAGTATAATTAAGGACAAAACACCCAATGTCTGACCTCCAATCTGGCCCAGAAATGGTGGAAACTTGGGTTCATAATTTCGGGGCCAACTAGTTTTTCTAGAAGGGCTTCTGATACTGTTGAACCCTACTGAATTAATCAATAGTTTCTTTAAACAAATATGATTAAAAAAACAAATTTTATTGGTAAAACATATTCTACCTGCTGTGGAATCTTGGTAGCTACGAAATTTCTCTTGAAGACTAAAAAGAGAATTCAGGTTTTTTTGAAGGCAATTTGTACTGAATAATAATAATAGCCATGCTCACACCTCATGATTCTCTTTTCAAGATGTGATCCAATGTTTAAAAGGCTCCCCCAAAGCTAAGCAATAAGAATATGTGTCACACAACACTGTTTATAAGATCATATAATTGAAAACAATACACAAGTCCAGTAGTTAGATCAGTTAGTGGACAGATGTACAATGGAACAAACCACATCCAAAATAACAACAGCAAAGAGCCAGCAATGATTAGAAACTTCCCCTATGATAGGCACCGGATGCTGTAGGTTACTTTTATCACCCTTATCCCACAAGAAAACGAGCGCACCTAAATGATCCGAGTCACTAACCCAAGGCCACACAGTCTGCAGTGAGTCTAACACCAGGTAGTGTGACACCCAGCTCTTAGCTACTGCACAGCCCGAGATAATGCCAGTAAGAGAGACACTGGGGAAGTGAGACTGGTCACGTGGTGCGATGCTAATGATAATCGATCAGTAAACAGGACAATGACTCCACTGTGCACATGCTCACTAGCAAGGAGAGCCAGTTTTCTGGAGAGAAAATACAGGTGTGGCTCAAATTGATAGGGTACATGCTTTCTATGTGCCAAGTCCTGGGTTTGATCCCAGGCATCTCACACACCATCTCTCCCCCAGCACTGCTGGAAGCCTGAGGGACAGCCCTGGCAATCCCCAAGTCCCACTGGGAGTGGCCCTAGTAAAGATTAACACAAAGAAAAGTAAAACACGATAGCATCCTTGGTGTAGATCTGAGTGGGAGGAATTGTGTGTGCTTCTGTTAGCAAATGTGGGCTGTGTTTATATTAAGAAGAGATAATTTTCAAGTTTAAGAAAGTCACACGAATACCATAACCTTATCTTCCTCATACATCTCAGTGCCCAACTGCTGGCCCAGGTCAAGTACAGGTAGAACTGCATGCACAGGACTCAGAACAGGGCTGGAGTCAGAGCCTCAGCTCTGCTGGCTCCATCTGGCTCAGCTCCTTCTCCTCGGGGCAAGCCGGAGGCTGAACTCCAGTGGACATGGCACTGCATTCTTCCCACTGGGTCTCAGAAGCCCGCCTGCCCCAGCATCCCCTCTGGACATTCACTCACATGGGGACCTACCAGGCAGAGTGCATAGAGCTGTGTAAGCAGGGAACCTGGTGCCTTCTTCCTACCCTAAGTCAGGCCTGTAGGCTCAGCCCAGGATCCTGGAATCCTGAGATGCTTCATCCCCAGAGCCTGGATCTGTGAAGGAAGCAGCTTAGCAATAAGTAACAGGCAGATGAGCCTGGGCAGGCAGAGTGCCAAGCCAATAAGCTCCTCTATGCAGCCACAAGGACCAGGGATGCTCCTTATCCCCTCGCCAGCTTTCTGGTTTTGTGATCTTGGGCATGCCATTTCTTCTCTCTGAGCTCTTTCCACACCTGTCAAGTAAAGGAATTAAAACACCAGTTTGAAAGGCAATTGTGAGAAGCAAAATTATATGTATATCTAAAGCAGTGACATCAGGAAGTAACAACTCCTGAGCACCGGCTCCAGGCGGGCACTGAGATACGCTTTCCATGTGGGCGGGTTCCCAGGCTGCCCCTCCACAGGCACAGGGGAGAGTGTGCAGACATTCATACTGTTAAGCAGTGAAATAGAAGCTGGAGTCATCTTGCCTGATCCACACCACTGTCCCCCACAGCCTGGCACCAGAGATATCCCAATGACTGTCATTGTCAGATCTTCCACCAGACTGCTGGCTGGCCCAGGAGAACCACTCGGATAGGGAGCCCTGCCTGTTTCTCCCCACCCTCAGCCCCCCACTTTAGGAAGCTCCCTCTTACAGTGACCAGACTTCCCTCGGTACCCCCTCTCTGAGCCTTGGCCAGAGTTTTGGCACTCTGCAATCTAAGGCAACCTCCTTCATGCTCTGGTCACCAGGACTTCTCACTCAAATCATGCCCTGGGAGTTGGGACTGCTGGCGCTGACACCTGGCACCTGCCCCCAGTCCCCTTCCCGGGCGTCTCAAAGGATCCTGACCTAAGGTGTCCCCCTCAGTTTACGGGGACAGGATCTGGGCCACAGGAATCGGAAAAAGCAGTATCCTGACGCAACTTCCCCACTGTCCAGTGACGCGGGGCGCAGAGTGCTTCGGGATCTAAGTGTGCAAGTGAGCGGCGCGCGTGTGGGAGCGAGAGCGGAGCGGGGAGTGTGCCTGTGCGCTCTTGGCTGCCGGGGTGCGTGCGCCTCTGCAATCGCCGTCCTGGGGCGGGCGGGGAGGTGGGGGGACGGTCTCCTCCCCCCGCAGCGTTGAGAAATCTCAGTGAGTCACCGAGTGGTTCTGCATATTAATGAGCGAGCTCGCTGCGAGGGCAGGAGCGGATTTAAAAGAGGCCTGGGCGGGCGGAGGGAGGCTGTGGTGAGTTTCCAGCGCCGAGCGCCGAGCGCAGCGCACAGCCTCCGCCGCCAGGCACCCACCGAAGGGGAGCCGCGGGCGCCAGCAAGCCGGGAGGCGCGCTCCGGACCTCCAGGCGTGTGCGGGCCAGTAGCAGCGTTGGGCGGGCGCCCTCCCGAGTCCCTGCTCCCGCGCCGCGCCCCTCCGGCCAGCATGAGGTTCCTGACCGCCGCGCTGCTGCTGCTTCTCCTGGCACTGTGCGCCGTGCGCGTGGACGGTGAGTGCCCGAGACGTCCCTTGGCGCTGTCCGGTCCCGTCCTGGGGAACCGGAGCGCCAATGCTGGCTGCCTGGGAGACCCCTGGGATGGTGGGTGGGCTCCGAGGGCTAGCGAGGGGCAGGTGAACCCGCGCACAACTAAGTTGGGGGTGGGGAGGGGGCTCTCTGAGCGCGCGCTCTCTCGCTCTTTCTCTCCCAGGGTCCAAATGCAAGTGCTCCCGGAAGGGGCCCAAGATCCGTTACAGCGACGTGAAGAAGCTGGAAATGAAGCCAAAGTACCCGCACTGTGAGGAGAAGATGGTGATGTGAGTACTCGCTCCTCGCCCCGAACTGCGCGCTGTTCTTAAACCGCGGCTGCTGGGTCGGGCTAACAAACATTTCTCTTCGCCTTTGGCCAGGCTTGGGTGAAGCCTTTGTAACTGCCCAGAGAGTCCTTAGGACGCTGGCTGGACAGTCCAGGAAGAGAGTCTGGAAAGAGGGTCACTGTCCCGTGCTTGGGGAAACAGCGTCTCTCCCAAGAAGCTCGCCCTTGCGGGGATGCGAATGGGAAATGGGTGGCCTCGGTGTCTGTGTCTGCACCGCCTACCCCGCTAGGGCTCCCCGTGCCAATTCAGAACACTCAGATTGCGATCACCCCCAGCCTGCTCTGCCCCACGGAGGCGCTGCTTTCTTGTTACAGGAGAGAGGATTAAAGCACACATTGTCTTGAGGCCTCAGACTCTCCCTTTCAGAGCCTTCCTTCCGTTCACAGGACCATGGATGGCCAGTTTCTGGTTTCTGGTGATTTTATTTTGTGAATGATTCTCACTTTTCCACCACGAGCTGGAATCCTGGTGGGTCCCTGGGCCCAGATGGTGCTGGCGAATGGGTTCGGCTGGGGTTAACATGCCACACAGCTCAAGCCCTGCTTGGTGGGGATGCGAGGAATATTTTGAAAACTGGGGCAGAGTGAGAGAACACTGAGTTTCCTTGCTTCTTGCCTTCCCAATTAACCACTTGAGGCCAGCACCACTGTTTCCCCATCAATACGCTCTTGGCCAGGAAGGAGGCCCTTGGCAAAAGCAGCTACCAAATATCTGCCCCTCTTCCACTCCCCCAGAAACAGGCCACACACTATTCTCAGTCTGGGCAAATGCCTTCCGCCCGCTGCACCCGCTGGCCCAGAGGCCTCCCGGTGCTGTCTGTGAGGGCAGTCCCTGAATGAACACTCCCGCCAGGCCCTGCACACCCGACTCCAGAAACTCTACCCCCCGAAAAAGTCTTTTTTGGTAAGAGCAGGGGATCGCATGAGTTGCAGAAGGAGTTAAAAGCCCTCTTGGCTTCCAGTTTGGGTGGTTGAAAATGACAAAAGTTTTCGGTGAAGTTTACACGCCTCCTAAGAGCTGACAAAAACTCCATACACTGAGCTTCTGGGGCTCGGCAGGGCAGGAGAAACAAGGAATGATTTGCACTGGTATTTCCAAAAGAATAGAGCCCCCAGTAAATAGGCTAGCTCACTTCCCTGAGTAAACTGCTCAGGAGAAAGAGCAGTGGCGAGGGAACAGTGTGGAGGGCTTGATGTAACTTTGTGAACAGCTGGAGGACCCTCATGAGATGAAGACAATCACCCCCTCATTCCCCCACCCAGGGCTGGAGGTTCTGCTCCTTCCTCAAGCACTAAAGATTCGAGATCAGACCAGGGGCCAGCACTTTTTTCTTTGCCAAAGCAGGTTTTCAGCCACAAAGGCTGAACAAAAGCAAGTTTTCCAGTTCACCCTGAGTCACCTAGAAATCTCTGCCGAGGCTGGGAGGTGGGGGAGGGGGGCTGCAGTCTGCTTTACCAGTGGGAATCTTTCTACCCAGCAGGGTCTAAGAGAGCCCAGATTCTAGAGAAGGGAGTCTGCATCCTATGGCCACTGGGCTCTTAGCAAAACCCTCAACACCCCATAATTACAGAGAAGATGGACATAGGACCCAGAATTTCTCAGTAATTTCTGGGGACAGAGATCCTCATGTCTTCAACCCAGGACCAATATTCCTGGTTCCAAGGTTGTGGAGATTGTTTACTCGTGGTAGGGAGAGGGCTGGCTGAGACTGTCTTCTCCTGCTCTCCAAAATTCAGGATTTGGGGTCTGAATACTAACCTAACTGAGAGGGGGGTTTACAGGTTTTGCCAGGTTCTTTCACTCCAAGTGCAGGCACAGTATTGCAGGCAGAGAGGGTAGTACATGGCCCGAACCCCTGCAGTGACAGGCAGCTGGGGCAGGAAGCAGCTTGGCCCTACTCTGAAGCCTGGTCTGTGCTGACCCCTGGCTGGAGGGAAAGGTCCAGGGGATGCAGGGTTTCTTGGGAACGCAGGGCATGAGCAGAGATGCTGGCCCTGTTCGGGGAAGCTCAGACCAGAGTTGGGAACCCAGAAGTTATGACACAGAGGGCGAGAGTCGATATTCTCAGTTGGAGACTGAGGGCCTTTTCTCCCTTCTAGCATCCTGACACTTTCTCCTTGGGACCCTGTACTGAACAAGTTCACATGCCCTGTGCCTCTCTGTCTTCCCCAGGCCAGCTCTAAGCCCCCGCTGGGGTCCCCCTGTTCCAGCACCCCACCCAGACTACCTGCAGACTAGCTCTTGCTGTGAACTCACCTCTCATCGCACTTTGCCATGTCTCTCAGCAGTCCCTCATTCTCAATCCTTCCTCCCTTCCAGAAGCTTTCTAAACCCCAACAGGAGGCAGAGCTTCACTAATAGCTGTCTGACCTCCCATTCTGGACTGGAGCTCACACAAAGAAGCTGCTCCTTCTCTTTGGCCACTCCATCTTAGGTGACAACTACTAAAACCTCAACTTCCCCTTGTGCAACCCCAGGGACTAGGTGCTTAGCCTCAACAATGGCCTTTAATCATCCCAGAAAGCCTCAGAGGTGGGGCCGATTACTATACCCAATTCATAGACGGGTAAAATGGACTCAAAGAGGGTGTCCAGATCCCACAGACAGACCTGGGAAGCAAAGCCAGGCCCTATGCTCCACCTGCCACCGCCCATGTGACTAAGCCTTCCCTAGATGTTGACACCATGAGAACTGGAATTCCATGACCAGGAATCAAAAACAGCTTCAGGGCCAAAAAGACTTAGTCTCCAAATCAGCCACTACCTGGGATGGTCTGTGGGGAACCATCTGGGGCTGGCAGGGTTAGACCGAGGCAAGACGACGTGTGTGCAGAGCATGGCCCAGCCCTGCTGGAAACCCATGGGAGGAGGTTTCGTACACCAACGTCTCTCGAGCTTTAGCTCTACCTATCCCTCCTGCTTTAACAGGAGCTATGAGTGTCTCCTGACCTCTGTTCCAAGGACAGACCTGAGCCCTGTGGATAACAGCCCCTAAGGGTGGGGAGCTGTGCATGATGCTGAGGGCTTGGGTAGAGGGAACTCCATATAGGGGCTCCAGACCAAGATCCAGGCAAGGCATGGGCACGGAGCCCAGTTCCTTGAAAGGTGGGAGAAGACCACCACCCCTGTCACCCCTTGATTGACAGGGACAGAGCAGCGCCCCTCAGGCCTCATGAGGAGCTAGCCAGGTTCCTCAATCCCCCACCCCACCCCACTCCATTTCAGCATCACCACCAAGAGTGTGTCCAGGTACCGGGGTCAGGAGCACTGTCTGCACCCCAAGCTTCAGAGCACCAAGAGGTTCATCAAGTGGTACAACGCCTGGAACGAGAAGCGCAGGTATGCCCGCTGCCCCTCCCCTTCCTGTCCATCTGGGTCTAAGGCCTCTGCTAAGCTTTGTCACACCATCTGACAGGTGAATGCCTACTGCAGTCACAGCAGCAAGCAGACTCCCAAGCATGGCTTACATAGCCCCAAGGATGAGAGGCTCACTCCCTAACAAAGCAGGCTCTTCTTGTCTTGCATAGTTAGAAGCATTGAAGGCATATAGGTTTATCAACTAAAATCAGTCACACCCTAACTTAACACATTATGGTCTTCATTCCTCTTCTTACTAATTTCAGTTCTCTGGCCTGTGGCAGGTGACTGGGTAACTCCAGGCATGGCACTTTCTTGGGGGAGTGGAGGGGGGTTCTTTGTGGGAGTGAAGCTTAAGTGATAGATATTTGTGTGACCACTTTAAGAGTTTATCAGCTATGAAACTCGGCATACAATCTCAAGGTGAGGTAGCTGACTCTTTTCCCTGCTGCCCGGAGTATTCTGATCACTTCTTTCCTGCAGATACAAGGAGGGAGCCGGGCTTTGACTCTTCAAACTCAGAGCCTCTCCTAATAGCGGAGGCAGAGTGGCCATGGGGCCAGCGACCCAGACCAGGCCCCTTGTCCTCTGAGCTCTGTGTCTCTGTTCTCTAAAGTTGCCTTCCCAGCTCTGAGTCCTGGTCATGCCCCTGCCCCCATATACCACATGAAGGTCTTCCTGACCTGGTATGAGCCTTATTTCACATACTCAGGCCTCTTGTCACCGCTGTATACATAGCAGGGCTGGGGAGTGCATACACACACACACACACACACACACACACACACACACACACACACACACACACACACAAAACCTGTGCATGCACTGAACCCCACCGACAGCTAAATGGGATGGGAGCCTAGTCTCCCAGGCCAGCCTGTCCCCTCTGCAACCACCTGTACTCCCCTTCTCCCCTCCCCCCCACACCCACCCCAGCATTGCTGGATCCTTCCACCCAAAGCTCAGCCTGTTAATAGCTGACACTAAGGCCAACCTCAGTACCTGAGGTTTTAGTTTTTTCCCTGCTTCCAAAACTGCCTGTCTGCAGTTACTTAAAATAGAAAGTGATGAGAGTGAGCAATTATTTTCTATAAATCTGAACAGGAACGAAGACCTTTTCTGTTCAGGGCAAGCAGCTCATGTGGCTAAAGCAAGGCCTCTCCTGTCCACTCTCTTTCACCCTTCAGACCCTGCATCACAGAAGGAGAATAAGGCTAATCTCAGGGCCAGCCATGGAGGGCTGGGAGCACCTCTGGGAACAGTTCAAGGCTTGAGGACTCCCTCAAGGCTTTGGTCCACATTTCCCCCTGGCCTGCAATCAAAGGTATAGTTTGGAGAATAAGGAGGAAGAGTGGGAGGAGAAGGAGGTGGAAGAAGAAGAGGAAAAGGAGGAAAAGAAGGAAGAGGAGGCAGGCATGGACCCGAAGGTCCTATTTCTTCTCTTTCCATCAACTCCAACAATGACAGTGATGAGTGGAAATCAGCACCTATCCTGCCAGGATTACAGGATGAGTTCAGCCTTCCTGACAGGATTGCTGTATCCCTTGCCCATCCCTGTTATGGCAGGGAAAGCTCTGTGAATGGAAAGGAGTTTTAAGGAACCATCTTGAAGTCCATTTGTGGAGAAAGAGAGAGAGAGAGAGAGAGAGAGAGAGAGAGAGAGAGAGAGCAAGAGTTCAGAGTCTGGGGTGGGGGCAGGACCAGACCACCAGGCAGCCCAGATCCCTGGGAGCCATGCTGGAGCGCCCAGAGCATCTCTGGACACCAAGCTCTGGCTGCTGAGATTAGATTTCAGTGCAGAGTTCTAGGGTTTACTCAGAAATCAGGGCACAGGGAGTGGGAAGAGTTGGCTGTGAACGTGTGAAGCCTGGCCTGGGGCAAGCTTGGGGCAGAAAAGAGATGGAAACTACCTAAAAGGGGACAGGCGGGAAGGTAAAAAGAGGTGGTCTTCACAGGTGCCTCCACTATGAACACCCCCCCCCCGCCCCCAGGCACACCAGCCACCCTTCAGACTGTGGCTGCAGTTGTAGAACTAACATTTAAACATTATTTAGGCAAAAGGAAAAAGGAGATCAAGTGTAAGTCGAAGGAGGGGCCTCTCCCCACCCCATTTTCTGAGTACAGATACAGAAGGAGCCGCTGTGCTGGGGACAGACCTGATCCCATCACTAAGCCTCATGGTCAGTTGGGCAGATTTGGAGTCTCTTGGGCCTCAGTTTCCTCACAGACACTGTGAGCTTGTTTTCAAAGGCTGTGAGCTTGTTTTCAAAGAGCGAGATGGCAGAGGTGGAGGCTGCGTTGAAGGAGTCCAGGCAGACTTGGGGGAGCTGTCGTGATTCCTGAGGTGCCTTTCTTCTCCCAGCCCTTGTAGCCCCTGGGTGGGCACCCCCAAGGACCTGTCTTCAGGAGTGGGACCCTCAGCCTGCACCAGTCACACATGTGTTTCCTCTCTCCAGGGTCTACGAAGAATAGGGTGGAGAATCCCAGACGGGCAAATTTCACGGCGGTGAGAGGTGCACAAAGGACTTTGCCGATTCTCAGAACAAACCAACCCTTTCTTTCTCACAGGCATAAGACACACATTACATACTGTTACCAAGCACTTTTTACCGAGGGTCAGTTTTTACATTTTATAGCTGTGTGCAAAAGGCTTCCAGATGTGAGACCCCCTTTCTCTCTTGCACTCCAGACTTCATCACAGGCTGTTTGGGACTGAAAAGGGGAAACTCATGACTTTGTAAAAGAAAAAAAAAGACAGAGGGAAAAAAACACTTTTCTTAAAAAATTTGTCCCGACATCTGAGCTTTATAAGCGTCTGGGAGGAAAGGGAGCTTGGTCGAGACATTTCATAGCAGCGTTGTGCCCTTGCTAGTGCCGAAGCTGCCACACTAAGGTCCTGGCTCCCAGAGCAGCTGCCCCAAGCTCTCGGGGCCTCCACAAGGGTTGCAGTTCAGGGGGGATCCATCGCGGTACCCACTGCCATCCAACAGATAGGACCAGATCTCTGCATCCTGAAAATTAACTTGTCTCCCCCCGGGTTTATTTTCGCACACGTTAGGAACTAGCTCCAAGATCCCAGGAAGCAAATGGCCTTTGGGAGGAGGCTGTGTCTTCTCCCCAGCCTGAGGGTTTGTGAGTGGTGCCAGCTTCGGGACTTAATGCTTCCAAAAAGCACAGGAGCACAGGGAGACCCTACACCGCAAGGGAGAACCTTGGGAGAAAAAGCAGACACGATTGCACATGTGTCCACACAGATACATTCTGATGACAAGGGAGACAAACTTCCCCACCTGTTTCTTCCCTATCACAAGGAACACGCAGCATGAAACCGTACACCTACCATTCCCGCCGACTTCTCCCACACACAAGGCAGCCCTTCTGGGAGACCACGACGTGCCCCCACCCTTCCCTGTGTACATACATAATATCCTCTTAAGGAGCCCCCGCCCTGCCCCTGTACCTTATGCTGTCCTGTACCGTCCTGTCATATGCTCCAGAGCCACCAGAGCCTGGGAGTGTTGCATGCAGGTTTCATATTCTTTGTAAGACAAAAATAAAAGTAATAAAAATATATTTGAAATGCACCAAAAGCCCAGGCTACTGACTTTCTTTCTATCTTGTAATGCCATGATGACAGTCAAATGTGTCCCTGCCCTGAATGGGCAGGGACAGAGATACTAGGAAAGGAAGCTGGTGCTCCCCACACACCTGCTGACACTGTCTGCTCCACACCATGCATCATCACAATCAGAGTCAGGACAGTGTCCCTAGGCTGCACCAGAGCAGCCTGGAAGGCATGTGGAGGGCCCAGGAGTCAGCTTCTGGTAGTTTCCAGTTAGACAAGGTGGTAGGTGAACCAAGATTCCTGAGGTCTAGGGCCCCACTGGAGAGGACCTAAAAGTGGTCACAGGGAAGCTCTGGACTTTCCTGTAGCTGGACAGACAGGCTCTGTCTGTCCTAGCGGGAGCACCTTTTCCTTTATGATCTCATCTCCTGGCAGCGCCAAGATGCACCCAACGTCGTCCTGAGGAAGCTAACGACCAGAGCAGCTAAGAATGCTGCCCATAGGGGGTATGGTGCCGCCAGCAGGTCAATTGTACCTGTGAGGCAAGTGCATCGGCAGCCTAATGGCGCCTTCAGACTTCCAGATACTCCAAAATTGCCGCTGTGCCTTTGGCCAGACCCAAAAAAACTTGGGGCAAAGTTCACCAATAAAGTAAATGGCCAAAAATTAGGTATGTGGGAGACACACCTACAAACCACCTCCAGCTCAGCTATATAATTGGAGGCATGGCCAGCCTCTCTGGTTCCTGATCGAACTGCTTAATGGCCATGATCCCAGAGATTCAGAAACAAATCTCAAAACCCAACAGCTTTCGGCAGAAATGCATCTGGTCCCTGCAGTAGGTTACCAGTGCCGGGCCACCCCAGGTGGGAATAGGTTTCATGCCTTGGCCAGTTCCCCCTGGTGGACCGGTGGCTGCCATCCTCCAGAGGCCACTGGACAGTCAGGTTTGGGCCCACAGTGATGAGACACGTTGGGGGTGTCCACGGGATGGGGGTGGAGCCTGCCCTTTCCTCCCCACCCCAATGAGGCCCCGAGTCGCCACCCACAAAACAGCCTCTCTGGCTCCTGATCAAGCTGCTTAATGGCCATGATCCCAGAGACTCAGAAACAAATCTCAGAACCCAGTGGCTTTTGGCAGAAAGGCATCCGGACTGCATAGTAGGTTACTGTCACCAGGCCACCCCAGGGGAGAAAGGTGCTGTCCCTCCACCTGCTCCCCCTAGGCAGTTCGGTGGCTGCCATCTTCCAGAGGACATTGGACAGTCAGGTTTGGGCCCGCAGTGATGAGATACATGGCGCCTCACGAGATGAGGGAGGAGCCGGCCCTTTCCTCCCCATCCCATCGAGACCCCAATTCGCCGCCCATGAAGAGCCTCTCTGGCTCCTGATCAATCTGTTTAATGGCCATGATCCCAGAGACTCAGAAATAAATCTTGAAACCCAGCGGCTTTTGGCAGAAATGTGTCCAGTCCCCGCATTAAGTTACCGGCGCTGGGCCAACTCAGGTGGGAATAGGTTTTGTGCCTTGGCCTGTTCCCCCTGGTTGCCCAGTGGCCGCCATCCTCCAGAGGCCACTGGACAATCAGGTTTGGACCCGCATTGATGAGACAGGTGGGGCATCACAGGATGGGGATGGAGCCGGCCCTTTCCTCCCCACCCCAACAAGACCCCAAGTCATCACCCACGAACAGCCTCTCTGGCTCCTGATCAAGTTGCTTAATGGCTATGAAACAGTGACTTTTGGCAGAAATGCATCTGGACCCTGCAGTAGGTTACTGTCGCTGGGCTACCCCAGGGGGGAAAGGGTGTTATCCCTCCGCCTGCTCCCCCTAGGTGGCTCAGTGGCCGCCATCCTCCAGAGGTCACTGGACTATCAGGTTTGGGCCCTCCATGACAAGACACATGGGGCCTCACGGGATGGGGGTGGAGCCAGCCCTTTCCTCCCCATCCCAACAAGACCCCAAGTTGCCGCCCATAAACAGCCTCTCTGGCTCCTAATCAAGCTGCTTAATGGCATGATCCCGGAGAATCAGGAACAAGTCTCAGAACCCAGCAGGTTTTGGCAGAAATCTCTCCAGATTAAAATGTTAAAATTTCAGAATTTCCAAATCATGCAGCCACTACTGCAGCCACGCAACATCACATGTTATTCTTAACCAGCAATAGAAAACAAATTGTCTACTGTTTCATTTTCAGCAGATCTGAGTGTTGGGGTAAAATTCTAAATAATAATGTGGGTCTGGTGTCAAAATATTGAATGTAATCAAAGTAGAGAGAGAGTAATATGGAAATCATCTGCCCCACAGGTAGGGGGAGGGTGTGGGATGGGGGTATACTGGGGTTTTTGATGGTGGAGAATGAGCACTGGTGAAGGTATGGGCGTTTCATTGTATGACTGAGACTTAAACCCAAAAGACTTGTAACTGCTCTCAGTGATTCAATAAATATAATTATAAAAAATGAAGAAAAAAAGAATGCTGCCCATGGTCACCAGCACCTGCTCTAACAGCTGATTCTGGCAACCAGGACAGGAGCCTGCAGGTGGGGAGCACTAGGGCCGGGATCTGGGAGCACCAGGAGGACTGTGATGGCTCTGTGCTTCTCCCTGGATGAGGCAACCGTGTAGAGCACTGAAACATGAGATACAGGTACTGGGTAGGTGTGAGTTAAATTCATGAGACCAGGCTACTTACTGCCCAGAGCCCCACATCTCCAGGTTTCCAAGCTTGTTGGTCCAAGACGCAGGCCCTCGGTGCTTCCCTGAGTCACCCAATGCTGTAGGAAGTCCCAGGGTGACACCCCTCCACCTCATCTGCACTTCTTATCTGCTATACCAAAAACCAAGAGCTCATGTCTCTGGCGCCTCCGGGACGGCTTCCTGACACACGTGCCTGACTCCGACAACGTCCCGGGACTCACACAGGACAGGCTCTGTCTGTCCTAGCAGGAGCACCTTTTCCTTTATGATCTCATCTTCTGACAGCGCCAAGATACACCCAAAATCGTCCTGAGGAAGCTAACGACCAGAGCGGCTAAGAATGCTGCCCATGGTCACCAGCATGTGCTCTAACAGCTGATTCTGGCTACCAGGACAGGAGCTTGCAGGCGGAGGGCATGTTGGGCAGGGGGACCATGAATCTATGGGACAGAGGAAAGGGGCGGGAGCTACAGGGAAACCCAGAGCCTAATAGCCAGAACTGACACAGGGGCATTAGAAAGGCAAATATCCAGGCCAGGGAGTGGAGAGGGGAGAGGAGAGAGAGGGAGTTGTAAAGCCCAGACCCCTTTGCCTGGAAGCCCTAAACCTACTTAGCCCAAGAGAGCACCAATGGGGCCTCACGAAAGCAGCTGCAAGGGAGAGAGCCTCAGCATCCAGGAGCCCCACCCCTTTAACGCTGCTGGCCCGTGGGCCACCCAACTCCTCTGGCTTCCCAAATTACCAACGGGCTCCTCAAAAGCAGTAACAGTGTCCCAAGAGCTTGAGTTAGTCTGACCCGGGCACCTGTCCTTAGTGTCTGTCCTGGGCTGGGGCAGACCCGATAAAGTCGTGCATAGGTGCCGAGTCTCCCAGCAGAGATACTGACTCTCCCAGGCCATCCATTGGTTAGCAGAAAAAAAGGAACGAGGCATGCAGAGGTCTGGAGAGGCTGCGGCCTCTAGCCAGCATGTCCCTGCAGAAGGAAGGTAGGCAAGGATTCTGTGGGCTGTTTGAAGCCTCTTTCCCAGCACTGATCTTTAGAGGAGCACCAAAAAGGGTTTCTCAGCCTTGGCTCTTGACAGATAACAAATGAGCCAGGGGCTGGGCTTGGTTCCAGCCAGAATACTCATCCTCACTTCCCAAGCCACCTCTCTTGTCTTTCTCCTTTGGTTTCCCAGTAGCCCTCAGAGGCAATCCCCTGTCACAAGCCAGAAAGGAGAGCACAGAATAGTAGAGCTCTGCACACTCCAGTTCTCAGAGCCTCTTACCCACTTCCTGCTTCTCCAGAGATGGACTTCTGCTCTGGACCAAGCTTTCCAGTGCTTATAGAAGCCTGGGTCTGGGTGTGGTATTCCTGTAGGGCTCACAGGGTATGCTCTGGGAGCAAACCTCCTCCTGTGCTTAGAACCACAGGCAGATTCTGGAAGTATGTTGGTCTCTTTGAGGATGGGGCATTTGCTGAGGGTCCAGAGCAGAAGGTCTCTCAGAGAAG